ATATATATATATATATATATATATATATATATATATATATCTCTTCACGCAAAGACCTATTTTTACTACGTGAGAGAGCTAGTAAGTTTGATATTATTAAGACAAAATGACTGCAAAATTATCATTGTGCTAAAATCATAAGAAATTAGATTTTTTATAATTAATAAAATGATCTTTATCATCATTATAATACATTATATACTGTATAAGTAAGTTAAACCCAAAATCCCAACATATAAAATATAGATTCTATCCATTTCCATACTGTAGTTTCTTAAAGTTATTAAGTTGATGAGTTCAGACCTTTCACTCACAAGCGTTCCTTGAAAAACTGCACTATTTTGTCAGCACACATTTGTCAATGTCTAATTCTGACATTTATACTCTCCAAGGAGTACCTACAGATGCCTAGAGAGAGTATTCGCAGTGTAGTTATGTCGGCAGAAAAAGATGCTGTGAAAAGATTCCTTTCTCATGTTCATCAGAGTTGGGATCAACTTCAAGTGGAAACTATACAGGTAAACCACCAAACAACATTTTACATGATGGAGGTCAATTCAGATGTTATTCCAAAACAGTGAGATCTGGTTGATACTGATAAGGCTGATAATTTTCACATTTAGTCATATAAAATTAAATTAAAATTATTTTAATAAAATAAAATAATATTAAATTCTATTTTTAAATTAAAAAATAAACAAATAAAAAACTTTCAAATTATACAACTGATCTTTTTTGCAGTGCAACTTTATAATGAACAGTATGTATGTTCATTTTGAGATTTGTTAAAAGTTTACAATAACTGATATAGTACCAATATATAATGCATCCCTATATACGTACCTCTGGTGTCATTCACAGGTCTCTCCAAAAGAACAAGAGGCCATGGAAACCATGACAGCTGCTTTCATTCACAAGTTTCCCCGTGTCACACCAGAGCTTTTCATTGACCTCTCCCAGTTTATACCGTACATGTCTGTCTCAGACATTATGACCTTCCCTGCCTCCCTCATGGTCAATGAAAGTGTGTAAGTGGATCATATCGAAACTATATTTTATGATTTAGCCCAGTGTCCTCCTAATCCAATTATTATATTCACTCGCTCCAGACTGCTGGCCATTAGGGATCACAGCTCTGAGATGAAGTCTCCACAAAAACAAGCCTTCATAAAACGCCTGTTACAGTCCAGCGTAGCTGGAGATGTGCCTTCGTGGCCTCCATACTTCCTCAGCTCCATTCTGCCTCTACTTCCACATCTCCCAGTCAGTCACTTTCAGCAGCTCACATCTCAACAAGTAAGTAATGTCTCATTCAGGAGATTCTGCTTTTTTCTTTTCTCTTGCCGAAAGTAACGTAAATGGTTGACAGCTCACGCCCTTAATGGAGATGCTGGGGAACAGCAGTCTGGATGCCACAAGGGGGCACCATGTACTTCGTACTGTGTTCGGCCGGGGGAAGAACCTGACGAGTGACAACATAATGAAGTACAAATTCAGTTCAACATCATATGACATTTGTAAATTTACAAACAAATACAAGACACTGTGTTTCTCACAACAGGTTAGGAGTTCTCATATGTTACCTGAACTCTGAGGACTTACAACAGTTATTGTCTTCATCGAATCTCTCACCTGCCCTGTGGCAGCAGCTGGCACAATGTGTATCAGAGGGACACATCAGTGGAAGTGGCAGAGTGAGCCTTGGTTTTTTGGATATTGTGCATTGTGTAATAATATCAAGCGTTATTCATGAAGAGTTCTTTTATCTGCAGCTTTCACATTGGCTTGGGACAGCGCTTAAATCTTTAAATGCCAGTATCTTGTCAACTTCGGCAATGGCCTCGTTACATGGTATGCTGCCACAAATGGGTGCTTCATTTTTGGAGCCATTGTCCTCAAACGAGTTGTTGGATCTGGTAACTCTGCCGGGTATGCCAACTTTCCCACCTGCTCAGGTAAGACCATTAGAATGAAAGCTTTTTAAGTTACAATTTAGTTTCTTAATTTGAACAGGATGCACAATTGATATTCAAATTTGAATATAAGGAAGTAGAATTAAACTAATTTTTAACTTGAAAACCAAAGTTTGCCAAGACAAACATTGACTGTTGACTTAACAAAGCCTGAAATTGCATAAGCCTTAATGATACTGTATATCAGGGGTGTCCAGTCTTGGTTCTGCAGGGCCAACGTCCTGCAGGGTTTAGCTCCAACTTGTTGAACATACCTACCTGGGCCATTCTAGTAATCCGGAAGACCTTGATTACCTTGGTTCAGGTCTGTTTAACTGGAGCTAAACTTTGCAGGAGAGTGGCCCTCCAGGAACAGGATTGGATGCCTCTAAGATAGATAGATAGATAGAGGTTCTTCATGGAACCATAGATGCCATAGATAGATTCCTCTTCCTATAATTTCAATAGTGCCAATTCAATTCAACGTCCAACTCGTGAATTGGATGAAGCCAGTTTCTCAATTGTAAATTTTGTACAACACTGATAGAATGATATTGTAAATAGTCAGTGTAAATATATTGCATAATTGTATCTATATATTAAAACCCTTTTCCATTTCTTTTAATGCAGGCATTCCAGATACTGAACAAAATAGCAGAAGAAACACTTGTAAGATATACACACCAGTCCAATTACGATGCTTACCTTTAGTGAGTCCTGTGTTCACAATCTCAATCCTGTTTAGTTCAGTGCCAACACGCTCTGCAGACTGAAGCCATTGTTTCCGGGTCTGGGGCCTTCTTTCTTGAGAAAGGTGGTTGTACTTGAATCTACACCTGATTGTCGGTGTTGGAGTTTAATGCTGGCTCACCTGCAACCTGCTCATCGAGCGATGGTCCATTTCGCACTCCAACAGGTTCGAACTTCTAGTGCTTAAACTCTGTACAAAACAATCACCATTTCCCCATTTTTCATTTGCGTTTATGCATTAGATTTGGTTTGGTCTGTTGGTGTATAACACATGCTGTTTGTTTGAAGGCTCTGGAAGGCACGTCTGCAAATATAACACAGCAGTTGGAATGTCTTCTACCATTCGTCTCCTTGAGGAAATTAATGTCAGATCTAGATGGAGAGACAGTCCTTCGTCACATATCTGTGTATAAGCATATGCCATGGTCTCACCAACAGGTACAAATCATTTCTAATTTCATACCTTTGGTTTTGGCAAACTTGCTTTTTCTAGTTCACAGACTGTCAATGTTGCATATCATGCACAAAAACATAGAAGTCTTCAGCTAGCACTATCCAGGAAGATCAGATCTTTTTAATGTTAAATGTATATTTTCTCTCAGGAATTGAAATAAGCATTTTAAGGAAACTATAGAAGCACTGAATATTCAACTCTAGCACTCTGTACATTACATTCAGTGCCCTGTACTGCTCTTGCCAGACAAAGCTGATCTCAAGTTCTTTGGTGGATTACTTGTCATGCTTCAAAGGAGCCTTTCAGTAAATTGATAATCTGAGCCCCTCAACTGCCATCAAGCAAATTGATCTTAATGTGGTACAATAGCCTCCACCAGGGAATATGAATTAATAATCACCCACATTAAAGAGACCTTGTCTCAGCCAAAAGTGTATCAGATACATCCTTGAGGGCGATCCAGTTTCTCAGACTCACTTGTTGTATTTGACACAACAGGCTCAAATGCTGTTCAAAATGATTCAGCGGACCGTAAACATCACAAGGGAGTCAATACTGTAAGTGATATCCAGCATTACTGTACTTTATGATTGTTGACTGGTCAGCTAGCCTCACCTGTTATATTTTTCTTTGGAAATTCATGCTGGTCTTAATTGCATCATAATCTGGATCTCTAGCAAAAAAATTATGCATTCTTTTTTATATTTGTGTTGTTTTCAAATTTTATAAACATTCATACATTTTTATTTCCACTGAAGAGATTTAGGTCGCATTGCTGGTGGCATGAGCTGTGAATGGCTGAAGCTTTGGGTAAATGAGTCAGGCTTTTCTGAATTGTTGCAATTCATCACTAAGTTGCCAGGAGGACTTAGACCTGGTTTGGTAAGAATATGAGAAATCTTATTAATATACACATTTAACATTAAAAGCCTTTGCTGTCCAAATGCAAAATGCAGAGATTATAATATTTTGATTAAGTAACATTATTTAACATAGCCCATGGCACTTTTCTATGTTATGTTCTATGGTATGTTCCCCACCAATAATGTACAGTATATGACACAAGGGAGGTTTTTAGCCTGTCTGTGGAAAATGAACAACATTGATGTTATGTTTCAACAGAAGAAATGCGTTGTGGTGGAGCTACGGAAACAGCCTGATATTGATCTAAATGACTTGGACCCCTCATTTGCTGCAAGATTACCGTAAGATCAGCGGTTGTTGATCCAGATTCTCATTAGTTTGTTCTTTTACATACATGGTCCTACTGTTGTATTTTGTCTCTCAGGCTGACCATGTTGGAGAACCTGTCTAACTCTTCACTCAATACTGTACTGGACTATGTTCGACAACACTTTATTGACTTTCTCCAGCTTCCACGACACAAGCAAACGGCCCTAGCAGAGAAAGCTATCGATGTACTCGTAAGTACAAAATTATTGTGGAGTTTCAATTTTTCATGACTGAAGTTAATGCAGTGGAACATTTCATAGAAGTTTCACAGTGACCCAGACGAACTATGCCTTCATCCAGTAGCTCGTATTGTCACCAAATTTTTATTTTCATTTTTAGTTTTTTGAAAAAAAAACCCAACCCTAACTGAAATCTAGTTTTACAGTTGCAGAATGCAGAAATGCATTTCCAAAAATGTGGATTATATGGATGTGGTTTGGTATTTATTTTGGTATTTAATTTAATTTGAATTTTTTGCTGTGATGCAAAACTGAATTTTGGCATCACTACTCCAGTCTTCAGTGTCAATGATCCTTTAGCAATCATCCCAATATGCTGATTTGCTGCTCAAGAAAACATGAATAGTATCAGTGTTGAAAACAGTTGTGCTGCTTTGTATGTTTTTGGAAACTATGATCCTGTTATTATTATTGCAGGACTATTTGATGAATAGAAAGTTCAAAAGAAAAAAATTATTTTGTAACATTATGAATAGAACATTTAGTACATACAGTCAATTTTAATAAATTTAAAGGGATAGTTCACCCAAAAATGAAAATTTGATGTTTATCTGCTTACCCCCAGGGCATCCAAGACGTAGGTGACTTTGTTTCTTCAGTAGAACACAAATAATGATTTTTAAGTCCAGCCGTTGCAGTCTATCAGTCGTATAATGCATGGCAATGGTAAAAAAATCTATGAGAGTAAAAAAGACATGCACAGACAAATCCAAATTAAACCCTGTGGCTCGTGACGACACATTGATGTCCTAAGACACGAAATGATCAGTTTGTGCCAGAAACCGAACAGAATTTATATAATTTTTTACCTCTAATACAGCACTATGTCCAACTTCCTTGAGTGTGCGCAGGCATCCGGTGCGTGAGGTGTGTACGTGCATTTGTCTGTGCATGTTTTTTTTACTCTCATAGATTTTTTTACCATTGCCATGCATTATACAACTGATAGACTGCAACGGCTGGACTTAAAAATCATTATTTGTGTTCTACTGAAGAAACAAAGTCACCTACATCTTGGATGCCCTGGGGGTAAGCAGATAAACATCAAATTTTCATTTTGGGGTGAACTATCCCTTTAATGCATCATTCTTTACTGAATAAAAGTATTAATTTCTTAAAAAAAAAACTTTTACTGATCCTAAACTTTTGAATAGCAGTGTATGCCAATACAAGTCAAATATGCCAAATAATCAGATTGTGCAGACTTACATAATACACATTGTTAAAATTAAAAATTCCTTCTTTTCTATCCTTTTGTCTCCACTGATAGGGCATCTCTGAAAATGGCCTCACCGGGGCCTCCATGGATATGCTCGGTCCTTTTCTGCCCTTCCTGGACAGGGATGTGTTAACTCACATAGATCGAGAGGCTCTGAAACTGCGACTAGAGGAACTGAAACAATATTGCCTGCCCTCTGACACCTTCAGACAAATAGCAGCTTTGCTCACAGAGAGAAGCATGCTGGGGTGAGACAAAGTCATTCCATTTTCATTCTGTTGACAACCTCTTTGTTCTGACTGCAACTGCAAAATGTAGTTCCACACGGCAAGCAAATTACAAATTGCATCTGTACTGGGAATTTGACAAAGCTCCTGTTGTTTGCAACAGAGATCTGAAAACATGGACGGTTGGGGATGTTGAGCATGTGGGTAGACTTTTGTTCACCCTTTCACCTCAGCAGATAAGATCTCTGCCACTGGTAAGGGAAACACAGGCCCTTCCATTCAACTAAAGCTCAATTTTGTGCAGGATAACATCACATTGAACATCTTCCTTCTTCCATCAAGGGTGATTTAGGTAAAGACACAGTTGAGCAGGTTCTGATGAGCCAGTGGCTTTGGAAAAGCAGCGAATTGGGAAAGGCTTGTTTGGATTTGAAAGGACTACGAGAAAAGATGAACGGTCTCACCCACAGGATCGTTAAAGGTCGATGGTGGATGAGAAGGGGTGAGTTGTGTGTGCTGCATTCATTTACAGAATCCATTAGATATTATTTATGACTTCTTCGGAAAGGTAAATCATATACTGTTGCCTACTAGGGCCCATTCCAAGCTGTGCAGACATTAAAGGGACATTTCCATCGGCCTGGAGATCCTATCAGCTGAATCGATTAAAGAGGAAGGAGCTGAAGATGTGTGTTGAGTTCATTGGTCAGGATGACACACTTGATGCCGAGCAACGTGAAGCACTTTGGATGGAACTCAGACCAGTTAAGCTACTTCTGCTTGACCAAATGTTGTTGCTCATTGATTATCAAATGTTTGATCTCATATGACAACCGTTATTTTAGGTGTATAAACCAGTGAAGCAGCTTGAACCAGAACAGGTGTTGGAACTGGGTTGTATAGTGACTGAGATGGGAGAAAGAGAGCTACAGGCTGTCAACTTGTCCAATCTGGCTGTGGTGGCCCATCTTGGGGACCTCAGTGGGTGGAACGCAAAGAAAGTAAGTTTTTAGTTGTTCGGATTAGCCTTAAGTCCTAAACTGGAAAGATACATCTAGTTATTTTTTAAACAGATGAGAGCAGTTGTCCTTGGTATAATGAAGCGACTTAAACAAAAGCCTGAAGAGCTTGGTGTGGTGGAGCTTGTTTCCTTTGGACATCTGCTTTGTGGCTTCAGTTCCTCTGAAATTTCCCATCTAGACCCGTTCAACCTGAGGTCAGTGGTGAAAATCAGTTTACACAATTCAAAATACAAAACGATTCACCTCAAAACCATTGAAAGCAGTGTTTGTGTCCATTAGCGTGGCTGCTTTGTTTCTGGGGGAGATGGTACTGCCGTGTTCTGAGCAGCAGACCGAGGCGCTGACGTCATGCCTATCCAGTCCTCTGGGCTTTGGTCCAGTCAGCAGCTGGGGCTCTGAGGTCTTCACTGAGATTGGGACTTTGGCAGGTACTGACGGTGGATTCGATTACAATCAGTTCAATAGACAATTTACACATGCCAAATTAGGCAGGCTTAAAAAAGAATAAAACAAACTGATTCTGTGTCCTCAGCTGGGCTGGAGGATATGGTATTGTCTGCACTAATAAAAGAGCAAGTGGAAGGACTTACACCAGCAGCAATTACCCTGATATCTCCAAGAAAATTCGCTGTGAGTGATGGTCATCTCTGTTTTTATTCATTCTCTTTCACTTTCTATCCTCCTGTTAAACATAAGACCTTAATATTTTACTAATTGTCTCAAGGCATGGTCACATGTATCGCTGATTGGCAAATTTTCGAGGGCGAAATCTGGTCATACCAATAAGAACTGGTGCGATTGAGAGTTTCGTGCGAGGGCAAAAAAATTCACCACGAAGATTACGCTTATATTCATGTTGGTCATGCACTTTTAACTGGCTGTTTTAAAAAAACAGTTTATTGTCAACTATTGTAGCATTTTTGAAGCACAGCTCACACAGAAGCCACTTTCAAACCAGTCAGATTTCTTTTGGGAAAGAATCTGTGTGACAAATATGAATGTGCTGCAAAATTGAGGACATTTTACACCTAATTGAAATGACTGGATTTTGTCTGCAAAATTCACCCAACAACCTCCAAACTTAAAGGTGGGGTAAGTGATTTCTGGTAGGCAATGCTGATATTTCAAATCACCAAAACAAACACGCCCCTACCCCAAAAGCGTCTCGCCCCTATTTTGATAGCTCCACTCCACACATACGTACGCAACCCAGGCAATGATTAGTTCTGTGAAACAAAGCAAAACCAGTGTTAAACCGTGTCTACACTTTCGATGGCAAAATACTATAGAACTCATTATAATCAGTGATGCTGTCTACACTGGATGCGGTGTGACTTGACAAATCCCCGACAGAAAACTGCTGCTGTGTTCTATTTATGATGTGTTGACACAAATTTCAAATGATTTTCAACGATTGCTTTGTCGCGTCCGGTGTAAACAGACTTTTGCTGTTGCGGCCTGGTCCCGGTGTAGACACGGTGTGAGAAACAAAGCAACCTCGGCGTCCGATCGCAGGCCTTCCGCTCCTTGAGTTCTCTCCAGCGCTGGAAAGCTGATCTGATATTTACACGGGTCCTACTTCTTGCCTTATCGTAAGCCTTCTTTTGTTCCGCAGACATTTTCCTCTTTCATGTTTTATCCACCATCTCTATCTTTCTGTTGCTCGGCTCGGCTAATGAGCGCTCTCTCGTCCATATCATGAGTAGACACGCCCCTTACTGCTGATTGGCTACAAGTCTGTTTTGGTACTCTGCCCGACTCAGTTTTCTAAAGCGTTTTTTAAAAAATACATACCTAACCTTTAAAGGGATAGTTCATCCAAAAATGAAAATTCTGTCATTAATTACTGACGTTCCAAATTCTTGTCCCTGAGTTACTGTCTTCCGCCATTTTGGAGAGTACATCAACATAAATCAACATAATCAGCATTGTTTACATTCAGTAGACAGCGCACGCATGCTAAACGTAAACAACGCTGATTATGTTGATTACGTTCTGGGGTACTCTCCAAAATGGTGGAAGACGGTAACTCGGGGAGAAGAATTGTTGAATAAATTATTTTATTTTTTTCTTTGCGCACAAAAAGTATGCTCGTAGCTTTGTAAATTACGGTTGAACCCTTGATGTCACATGGACCATGGAAGATGAACGAAGGTCTTATGGGTTTGGAACGACATGAGGGTGAGTAATTAATGACAGAATTTTCATTTTTGGGTGAACTAACCCTTAAACTGAAAAAAGGTCCATTGTCCATTGTCAATAGTGTAGCATTGTATGAAGCATAGCTCACACAGAAGTGACTTTCAAACCATGCAGCTTTCTGTTGGTCAACACACCAAATCTGTGTGACAAACTTGAACCTTTTGCGAAATCTGTAAACGTGACCAAACCTTTAGAGAGTTTATACATTAAAAGTCTCAGAAAACTTGCATCTTTCAATTCTTCTACTCTATAGCACCCTTGCTAGAGCCAAATGCATTCAGACAGACACTTTGGTTGTGGTTAAACATTACGATGCTGTACATCTGGTTTAAAATAACCCTACTTTCAAAAACATGTCTCCAAAAAAAGATGCATTTTTGTTGTAAAATGCAATAACACTTCTCTTATGCAAATACGCCCTAAGAAAAGCTTCTGAGCAAGATCATGTGAACCCTAAACCAGCATAATTGTGCAGGTCATCCAGATTAGGTTAGTTACTTGATTGGTGGGTTGTTGAAGCAATCTATCGACTAGTTGATTTTGAAAATATGTAGTTTTGAATATTAGTGCATATGCTAATAAGTATTTGTATTGGCCTTTTAAAAAAGCCATTTGTGTTTCTCTGAATGACTTAGAGCTTCCAAACAACAATCATTGCAAGGAAGACCCCAAATTGTTGCCAGGGTTGGTTCATCAGACATGTTGTTCATTATTTCAGGTGGTATTCAGTGCCACGCAGCTGTCTTGGCTGAGCTCTGAACAAGCGTGTGCCGTGACAGAGGAGCAGTGGGCAGAATTAGACAATGAACAAAGACAAGCACTTGTCATGGCCCAGTATGAAGGCGAATTAATGCTTGAGCACAGAGGTGAGCAGTATTTTGGATGTCGTTATTTGGAAACTAAATATGCTTTGGTAGCTGAAAATAATTGCATATAGTAATTGTTGATGTGTTATTAGTCTGTCATTTTACTATAAAAATATATTTGTCTCTGCAGGCAGGAACCAGGCTCCATCGTTATGGTTTGCCGGCAGCTTCAGAAAATGTTTATTACTTTTTGTCTGTACATTGTGGATACTGTTATAAAGATTATAATCTGAGGCTTTTTATTTGTTCCTCTTTATTGAATTCTTAAATATATAATAAATGCCAACTCAAATGCAAAACTACGGTGACGCATTGCTGCCGCACACATATTATTTTAAATATGTGTGCGGCAGCAATGCGTCACCGTAGAAAACTAATACTTCAAGCATTATTTAAAGTCAACATGGGTGTCATCAGAATGAGAGTTCAAACAGCTGATAAAACAGTACAATAATCCACACGACTCTACAAGAGAAAACAGTCCAAAACAGTTCTAAACAAATATGATGATGGATTTTGATGTGAGAGGACAACAAGGGATGGACTTTTTCACTGGAGGAAGCGTTATTATGGATTATGGAGTTGTATTTTTGCCAAAAGCAACGGTTTAAAGTTAAAACGCCATTATGATGGATTTCTTACAAATATGCAGCTTTTCGCTTAAAGGGCACCTATTATGCAAAATTCACTTTCACATGTTGTTTGGACAGAAATGTGTTGGCAGTGTGTGTACACAACCAAACTATTGTCACGAATTCAGTCCATGGACTTCCGTTTATTCACCACCAGAGGTCACCCTTTCCATTACATTGACTCTCGCACAACACAAACTGTTGCATAGCACCCCGGACTACATATCCCATCATTCTTTGCACGATTTGCACACTGCACTGATTTGCACTCATTGCACACAGCTGTTTCTAATCACCTCACTCACTATATAACACCCACTCTAACCACCTTTCTCTGCTGAGTATTGTTTAGCCTGTACCCCTTTCCGAGTCTCCGTGTTTTCCTTGCTTTGCCTTGCCTGTTTTTGCGGTTTCTGATCTTTGCCTGTTTTCCTGGATTTCTCCCTCTCGTCTCGCCCCTGTGATTCTGTCTGCCAATCGGTGACCTACGCTAGCCCTAGGACTAATCTTGTTTTTGCCCACCATATACCTGTTTGCCAGTGTTCGACCCTGCCTGTTATACCACGTCTCTTGAATAAAAGCTTGCAGATGGATCCACACGTCTCACGTCTCGTCAGCCCCGTTACAGAATACTTAGCCATACAAGGACCCAGCAGCTTTTCTGAGGAACATTGGCCAGGTATGGACACAGCAAGGATTTTGTTAGCCCTTAAACAGGGTCCACGATCATTAGAGAACCATATTTGAGAGTTTTTAGCCATCGCTCACTATTCTGAGTTACCGGACTGTTTATTGATAGAGTTTTTCTGCGATGGCATAAATCAACCTCTTAGGGCTAAGCT